TATATATGTATATATATATATGTATATATATGTATAATATATATAATATATATATATATATATATATATATATATATTAATCTTCAGAGAAAAAAAAGGAAAATCAGTTTTCTGCTTAATGCGGAATTTTTTCGTAAGGAAGAACGAGTGCAATAGTCGTTGAGAAGTAAGGCCTTATTAGTGTTCATGAAGCAGTACCTATTCCGCAAAAGAGAAAATGAATAAGTGAAAATACATTTGTATCTGTGGAATCTCTTAAGAGAAGATATCCGAATAAACTTGCTGTGGTATACATTTCATTTTTAAGTTTATTTGTTATTATTCAGTTTTGTTGTTTTGTTGTTATTTTAATGATAATATGATATGTTTTCATGATTATTATTATTGTTATCATTAATATCATTATCAATAATGTTCAGTTTTGATGGCCCACCAATGTTGTAATTTAAAGGCAGTTATTTACCACTCCCTTTTATTTCTTAGCTTGACCGATGAGTAAAACAGCGATCTCCCTTAACGAAGGAGACCCCGGTTGCACGACATCAACACGCATCAGGCATCACTTGTGTGCTTAAGAAAACGACAGAAAGCTGAACGTCTTTGTAGTGTTTTTCACTCGATATGATTTTTTTCTACAATCGTGAATATGAATTTATTTTGCTTCACCTACTTAATGATTTCATGTTACTTTTGAACTAGATTGTTTTGGCATTTCACATTTATTTATTGCATCTACTTTTTTAATCTCTTAAGTAGCACTGGTAAGACATAGGTCCATGGGTTAATACATTTCTAGGAGTAAAATAGAAAGTGTATGGCATGCGGATAAATACGAAATTGTCATTTCACATCCAAGTAAGCTCTATCCCCCCACACACAACCTTTTTTACCACCTCTGAAAGAAAAGCATTCGCAGCTGAAGTAACCTGGAAGCACGGCTAAAGGATGTGTTAAATCTTGGTGAAGTGTTTGCATTTGAATGACATTACAACCATGTGCTGTTATGGTGCGATTTGCAGGTTTCACGTGCCTGAGAATGTTTATGGTAATGCATTTTTCCTTTTTTAAGTGACAGAACCCCGTCATATTGGGAAATATGTCTCCTTTCTGTTCTTTGTTTCACGGAAACGAACAGACGAAAAACAGATGTGTAAATAGTAGCAGGTCCAGGTATTTAACACGTAATAGATGTTTATTTCATTCATATCACTTTTTTTTTCTTAAGATCACCCACACACTAAAAGAAAGAATGCTTTAGAAAAGTAATTACTGGAACCCAGTTGAAACCTCTGCTGTCTGTATCGGAAAAGAAACAAAACCTTTCAAGACGCCTATTTCTGTCTTGTAAGAAACAAGTCGGACAACCATCAGCATGGGAAGGGTTAACGAGTTGAACCAATCATCCTTTTCTTCTTGAAATGAGTAAGAGAGGAAGAAATGCTGGTTGGACCCCACAGAATTCTGAAAACTTAAAGAAGAATAATGTTAAACTTCATGATGTGATGTGCTATCTGAGAATTTGCGCCCATGAGAGCAGGTGTTTTGTCACACTATTGTGAAAACTCTGTCGCTCTCCATATGGCTTGTTTTAGCTACACACTCTTTGTATTTGCTGCCTTGGAATTGAAACTTGTAGCAGTAAAGCAGATTGGTTTTATTTATACCCTCATTCCTTCCACCCAAGTCCCTTGCCCGTTGTTGTCGTGGGGAGTCTTAGGAGGCGAGGACTGGGACCCAATTCTGGGATCTCCCCTACCTTGGCCTCAGCCCTCGAATCAATCAATTTGCATTGGTCTTTTTCCTCTTATGCTTTTTCGTTTCCGTCCCTTCTCCAACACCTACTATCCACTTCCTGAGGTGTGAGCGCCATGCTGCAAGGATGAAAGGCTGACTTTGTGCCAGTCCTGAACGGCCTGAGGGAGCCATGGGTACGGTATTCCCCATTTTAGCTGTCTAGCTCTTACCCCTCAAGGGGACCCTGAGGGGTGGACTGTTTCTCTCCCCAACATAGTCTAGGCTTACCGTAGCCAATAATCAAGACGTTTATACCCTTGTTAGCGACAGTGAGGCTTGCCCCTTCATCAAATAGCCCCACCAATTCAAACTCTCCCGGTTCCCTGACCCCAGGCTCTCCTCTGAACACTGCAACTACTATCCACTCTTCAATGCCTACTAGTACATTATCCACCCAAGTCGAGACTCAATCTCCAGAAGACATTCCTACTCTCCAACTTCCTCAACTTCATCACCTCTACCCCCGCAACCTTCATCAATCACCCCCATCCTCTTGTTACTACTTTATAGTCTTTTTTTCTCCATCTCTCCGTAATACTACCCCCCTCAACAATACTCCTTCTACCACCCCCAACTCTACAAACATCTTAAATACTCTATTTAGCTCAGCCAAATGGGACCGATTTTTCGTGCCCCCCCCCCCTTATAGCTCTTAACTCATAGCAACACTCTTCTCTTTCAACAATGTCTAAAAGCATGTGGGCAGAGTCCCTTTCCGTACCCAAACCGATCGTTTCCGTCTCGTTACAGTTACATCTGAAACAAGCTATAGCATTATCAAATCTAACTGATCTCTGGCAACTCCATTCCTGCAGAACGTCATCCAGCTCTTAATATTTGTTCTAGCACTGCATCTTTTTTCCCCAGCAAGGTGTCCTATGGATAACGATTGGTCAGGTTGTGAATACTTACTCGGCTGCCTCAAAGACCGTAATGTGATATCAGTACAGTGCAACTTCATTCCTCCAAGAGGTCATCGAAAGAAACCCACCAATATTGCCAAAATTGCTTTCTGTACACATGATCTTCCCTTTCGTATCTACATTGGTGGACAACCCCCACCTTGTTCGACCATACCAACCTCTTCTCCATCAATGTCAAAACTGTTGGCGCTTTGGACATCGTGCCAAACACTGCCATTCCACAGACCGATACCCCCTATGTGCCCAACCCGGTCATAACCGATCAAACTGCTCTGCACAAACACGTACATGTGTTTGTGCGGGCCCCACTGTGTGATTTATAGAGACTGCCCCACCTACAAGTTTGAATCTGAGGTAGCAACTCTCAGATACAAACTTGGTCTCACTCTACGTGAAGCCAGACAGGAAGCACGCCGATGAGGTTTCTCTCATACTTCCTACTTTGGTAATGTCGCTCGCTCTGCCCCTCCCCTCCAACCCAGGATGTTTCTACACCCTCCCCTATACCTACTTACTTCCCCACTTCCACTTCTACCTCCTACCCTCCTCAGTCAAATTATTTTGCCATTCTAAAGCCAGACATTCCAATGTCAACTACAGTCCCAACACCGTCCCCTCTCCTTCCCCGCACTACCCGCAACAGACAGACTAAATGTTCCACCCCTTCTTCTACCACACACTCGCCTCCACCTACCTTTGCCTTTACTCCTCAGACACCAGTCTTCTCTTCCCCTCCTCATAAGAAAACCTTTGTCTCACAAAACTCCCCAACCAACTCCACTGCAGAATCTATGGAAGATATTCAAAACTATATGCTCGAGACACAAAATTCCACAACTCATTCTCCCTCCACATTCGAAGTCACTGTCGATATCCATCCTCCCCCTACTCATATTACCCCTACACCCCTTCTTACTCCCTCTCAACACAACTTATCCCCAACTCCGTCTACTACCGATATCCATCCTCTTACTACTCGTATTCCCCCACACCCCTTCCTCCTACTCCTTCCCAACACAACCCATCCCCCTCAACTCCAACAACTACCGATACCCATCCTCCCAATATCTATCCTCCTACTACTCATATTCCCCCCACACCACCTCCTCCTACTCCCTCCTAACACAACCCACCCCCCTCAGCTCCAACAATCTCACCCCCTAGCGCCTTCCCTTTCAAATTCCCCAACACGTACTGTATACAGGCAAGCAGGCAAAGTCTCTCTCCGTGGCTGATCCGATCGTCACAGATACATCCGTAATCCAAGCTATAGCATTATCAAGTCTAAATAATCGCTCTGGCAACCCCTTTCCTGCAGAACCTAATTCAATTCTCAATACTTGTACCGGAACTGCCTCTATCTTGCCTGGCTCACGGACTATGATGTAATAACAGTACAGTGTTACTCCATTCGTCCTAGAGGTCACCGAAAGGACCCCACTAGCATTACCAAAATTACTTTCCGTAGACAGGACCTTCCCTTTCAAGTTTACATTGGTGGAGAACCCCTCCCTGGTCGACCATATCAACCTCCTCCCCGTCAATTTCAAAATTGTTGACGTTTAGGACATCCTGCCAAACTGCCATTCCACAGACTGATGCCCTCTATGTGCCCAACCCGGTCATAACCGATCAAACTGCTCTGCACAAACACGAACATGTGTTAACTGCGGCGGCCCCCATAGTGTGTTATATAGAGGCTGCCTCACCTACAAGTTTGAGTCTGTGGCAACTCTTAGATACAAACTTGGTCTCACTCTACGTGAAGCCAGACAGGAAGCACATCGGCAAGGTTTTCCTTTACTCCCAAGTCCAATAATGTCGCTCGCTCTGCCCCTCCCCCTCCCTCCCAAGATGTTCCTACACCCTCCCCTATACCT